TCGTTCTGACAAACCAGCAAGAACTGCTAGAGCAGAGACTAAGCCGTGAGTTCTGTTTCTTCTGTGGGTCAACTCTTCTCATTCAGGTCCCATACACTGTGTGTTGTGAATCAACTTCACAAAAGTCGTAAACTCTCTTTCAGCAGGTGCTTCATCTGAAATACAACCAAGGAGGTGTGCCATGTTTTCAATGCAGCCAAATAAACCTTCTCACTGTGGCTGCTCCTTGATCAGGATGCCTCCAGGACGCTTTCCTTTGGAGGTATTCAGGGCGCAAAACTGGAGAGGTATATTTCTCACCTGGCCTGGGAATGCTTCGGGATTATGGAATACATTGCTGGGGAGAGGAACATCTGGACTACTTTGCTTGACCTGCTGCCATCCTAACCCTGGACAAGCAGCTATAGATATATACATAAATAATATCAAAACCTGGGTTTGATTTTGTGAAAAACATACAGTAAGGATGATCACATTAAGCATGTTTTCATATCATTAATTTCATGACTTTTTTTAATTACTATACTCAGAGAATCAGCAGACTGCTGCCTGATACACTAAGTACATAAACTCAGATCATCTTGTGAATTATGCTGTATCACAAGTGACAGTAGTGCTACTAGTAGTAACAGTTACACGCACAGCAGTGTGCCACTAGAATGAACAGCCTGTACAAAAACAGTTGTGACTGAGAGGTTCTTCAACAAATGCTTTTTTATTGACTTAAGAAAGCCACTACACTGTGCATGCATGAAACCACAGACCAGAGAACATGGCACATTTCATCGAACAATCAAACATCATCTTTCTGCAACAAAACAGATAAACACTTTTAAAATCCATTACATTTGAAAATTTGTGATTACTGCACATTTAATTCACAACAAACCAGCAGCTCTCCAGGGCTTAACAGTGACAGAATTAGATACACACACACACACACACACACTCACACATGCACACACACAGACTGGCATGTCCAGGGGTAGTTCTGTGATACTACTATCAGCCAATCCACACACTGCAATTAACCAAAAAGAAAACATATATTACACATTCGAAGTCATTTCAAAGTGCATAGTACAGAAGTATGTGGGTGAGTCACTGTTAACATGGTAGAATAATTAAATATTCTGCAGTAGCCACTGGGGACTTTATAAACCATAAAGAACATTTCACTTGGCTTTACTTGAATTACATTTTTTTTTTTATGTGAACCCTTCTGATAGCTAACTCACACACACACACACATATACAGTGTACATCAAAATAGTGAAAGAAAGATTTTACACCAATTTAACTGTCAACCATAATACATGTTACAAAGAAAATGTGCTTTTTAACTTAGAACATTATAATTAATTCATCACCACATGACATGCTCCACCATCATATAGCAAACAGCTGAAAAAGAACATTTAAACCATAGTACATTAATCATAGGCATGACACAAAGTTCTACAAAAGGAATGATGGGAAAAAGATGTTTGTAGATAAAGAGTTTGTCATCAAGGAGACAGCCAAAGCAATTCCACCTTAACAATCTATCATCACTTCAGGATGATGATACAGTTTTGTAAGACAAGAAAGCAGCTACTGTCCTTGTGTGAACTTTAGAGATGCACTAAGCGATGTATCAACTGATTATGTGTAATGGGAAAAGAGGTTTCTAGTAGTGATGGATTGACATCTTTCCCCTAAATTCTATAGAGAGTTTTTGGCGTATTTTGATTATTTTGGTTAACAAACCACAAACTCTCTTTCATCATCTGCCGGTTCCAGCAGGATAACTCTGAAAAAACCCACTCTTCACTACCAGCCCAGCACCAAACAAGACAAAAACAGTTAGCAACTAGATGCTTAACTTATTGGAGCATTTAGCAGCTAAAGAAATGTATGTAATACAGTATAATATATAATATGTCATTGTTGTGTTTACAGCTTTATAGCCCCAAAAATCATTTAAAGCAGCTTTAAATTTCAGCACAGCTAACATGCATGTATGTATTTAGGTAGCATGTTTTGAAAAAGCAAAAATATCCTGTAAATAAAGTAAACTTTTGGGAGCATAAAAACACAAATACATTTTGAGGTCTAATTATGCCAACAAGCATCCAGCAGGATAAGTTGTAGGCATGCAGTGTTTTTCAGAAATCCCAGAAAAAATAAACAAGTAAAAACAATCTAATCACTATCAGTAACTTAAATATCAATTACAGCACTGTGCATCATCACTTATAGTAACTATAACAAAAGAGGAAGGAACAAAAACAAGAAAATGTCGGCCACATTTGCATGCAGTTTGTTCTGTAAAGTTAGACTCTTGACACACTGCCAACTAGATAACATTAATGCATCCTCATACTGACTGGGTCTTATGGGAAAAACTATTTACACTCACTTTCTCACATTAAAGATAAAGCCAGGAATCTAATACCACTCAACACAGTGTATAAAATGGACATCTGTGCTAACATGCTAAGGTGTTAGCACGGTGGAGCCAAGACCCGGCTGCGACTCATGACGACTGGTGTCAGTGTTTTCATCAGTTAAAGGGTATGCTGACTTATGGGACAAGTTTATGGAGGCAATTAACTGCCAAAAAGATTTGAATCTATAACTGACTAAATACATCACTGTAAAATGTATAAATATAATACCACTGAATTATATATAAAAAATATAATAACACTGGAATATGGAAAACTCAAGTGCCAAATATGGTAATGCTGGATAGAACCAACATTTTTCAAGTTTTTTTTATTTTATTTTTTTATTTTGCATAACTTTAAAATGTCTCTTGAAATAAAAAATATTTCAGTGTTGTAAATTCAAAGGTATTTTCAACATTAAGAACAAACACAATTAGATATTTGATTTATTATTATAGGATTCAAATCTTTATAGTCAATTTTTGCTTCCATACAAGTTCCCCAAAACCTAGTGTACTCCTGCACAAAATACTGGTTTGATATATCAATGTACATCAATATATCAGTGTACTGGTCACACAGAACATACTGTATGTCCAGAACATGTTTAGCATACCTTAGCACAAATAGTGGAGGCAGAGAGATTTGCTCCAATATCAATCATATCAAAAACTGTCATTTTATACGTTTTTTTTTAAATAACATGTACAGAAATGTATGTATAAACAAACAGAAGTAGAAACATGCTACTGGATCCACAGAGATTAAATTAATATTCATCTTCTCCTTTGAACCAGGGTAAGCCAGAACCAACAATGCATGCACGGCTGCAACAACAATCATTTTTAATGTACAGTTTACTTCATGGCAGTATAAGCCATGAAATTAACTTGAGCTGTGGATTTCATCCCTGCCAAATGACTGCTAATGAGTTCTCTCACAGCTAGCTAAACAGAGAAGAGCACATTAATGGAAATGTCAGAAAAATTCACTGTTATAAACTGTACAGTATTTTACTCTTAACACACTGAACACTCTCATGTTGTCTTGTCGGTAAGAACAAGGGGTGACTGTATGGATAACCATCTCACAACAAGATGTCTTTGGTATGTTTATAAGCTGATGGGTCTCTCGTAGTACAATTACATTCCTGGCCAATGTAATGTCAATATTTTCTAAATACATTTAATGTTTTACCATTCTGACAACGATACAGTTCATAGTGAAACAGCTAATACTTTTTTTAGTCTGAAAATATCAAGCAAAAGTTTACAGATCCCAGGTTCAATCATATAAAGGAGCAAACAAACAGGAAAACACCATTCCGTCTCCATGACCTCCACACCATTAAAGCCGACTAGCTGCGTGTCAACAGGAGGTTGCCAGGTTAAATCAGCAGCGACGCCTTGGACTGTTTATGAGACTATGTACAGGATTGTGAAAACATGATCGGTGTGTACTACTAAATAATGACTCTGATTACTGATGTTTTTGGTATTAATGATATTAAACATGACGATAAGACTGATGTAATGGTTATAGTGATGATGATAATGATGATAAACCCCACCCTTGCCATACAGACTATTGGCAGAAGTTAGAATTTACAGATGTCTCCTAAACAACTCAAGTGCAGACTTTCGGTAGACACTACAATTTGCAGATGTTCCCTCAACGCCTCACATTCAGGCAATGGATAGACACTAACTACAGCACACATCATCAGGGGCCCACTTAGGGCGCTGTTGGGGCAACAGCAATGCAGTGTATAGGAGCTTTAAGGGAGTTTATAGTTGTCATTGTAAAATGTGCCTATATGAGGGGTTCCCTTTTCCACTTGGGGGGCCTCAGGCATTTGCCTAGTTTGCCTCTCCTGACGGTGAGCCTCTGATCATTCCCGTTCTCTCTGATCACTGTATATTGTAGATTTTCAAATGAAAGATAAATGTGAAAATATACAGGGTACAATATAATCCCCCTGTCTGGCCTTTAACACTGTTGAGTGAAACACAAAATCTTCTACAATGAATTATATTGACTTTTTGCTCATGTTTGAGTCTGTGCTTGTTATTGTACTAGAGAAAAAGAAAGTGCTTCTTAAAGCTGTTGTTACTCAGTTGACTGTATATGACTATATTAACTCATTAATTCAAAAGATCTCTTCCTTTTTATACACAAAAGTGTGTTATATCAATTTTCAGTGGAAGTCAATGGAGATATTGGATAGGGTAAATTAAAATTGCGTCATATGCCATCTTCTATAAAGCAATTTATTCAATATTTATCCTTAATTTCATAACTGACCTTCACTTGGTTACAGGTGAAACAAATTCTAGGAATTCATTATGGTTTTTTTGAACGGTAAACATAATGCACACACTATAAACACTTTCAAATGAAACATGTGCAGCCTCTCTTTTGTGGCCAAAGAAATAAAGTTTCCATACCACAGTGTGAATAATACCACTTACTCTTCATCTTTCATCTACTTGTGACCTCAGTGGTCACGGCAGAATCTAACACCTCTGAATCAGGAAATAAACGAAGGTCACAGGTTTCTTCTCTCTTTTCATTCTCTGCTTGAGTAATCCACATCTGTTGTGTGACCAAACAGCTCCTCATTGTTATTATTTTATTCACATTTTTTCCTGTTTTCCGTTTATTGTATGTGTGCCTGCAAATTTTACTGTGGTATTATTTGAGGAAGGTCGATCCAAGTCCTCATCAGCAGTTGCCAGCGTCTCAGCTGGATCCACACCAAAGCTGAAGGTAGCTAAACTGATGTCAGTGGGATGGTCGGCTTTCTTGCCGTTGACTATCTCCTGATGGCTGCTCCCATTCTGCTTTGTAGACGGATCAGTGGCAGTGTTCAGGATGGTCCTCCTTACATTCTCATTGGTTCCGTTGCTGTTGGCCTGGGAGGTCCGGGGGTCTCGCACGGTGCTGAAGCCGCTCTGGATCGTTGACAGTGTTCTCTGATGTGCCTCTTGCCGCTGGCAGCGGTAAAGGCCGCGAAACGCACAGCGGAACTTCTGAGACATGGCGTTGTATATGACAGGGTTTATGGCGCTGTTGGCATAGATGCATGTCCGACAAAACAGGAGGAACCAGGCGTCCAGATAAGGAGTGGACACGAACGAGTTAATCAAAACTAAAGTCCGGTAGGGCATCCACAGTAGAGCGAACAGGATCACCACGACTGCCAGCATCTTCGTCACCTGTGGGGAAGAGACACAGTCATTCAAATGTTGCTGAATTTTCCCTGGGGATAAATAAAGTCTCTATCTATCTATCTATCTATCTATCTATCTATCTATCTATCTATCTAAGTGGGAAGGGGCCCACGGTGCTGTTACCACTTGCAATCTCCATAGTCAAAGATTTTCAACCTCCACATTGGCTACACAGGCTTTGAACAGTAATTTTAATATTGACTTAATCAAACAGCTTCCTGACATGTAGCAAGAAAAGGGAACCAGGTAGTTTTCAGGAAATGCTGCACCAGACTAAGATGCTGGTGAGTAGGTGATGAAGAGGACGTTAATGTTGTTTCTCTTCTTCTTGGTTACATGCGAGCCATGTGATAAGATAAAATTCTTAATGTGAGTATCTTTTGATCATTTATGGAAAGAAAGTCTCCAAAACAGATTCACAGAACACAGACCTGATACAGTAACAACACGTTAGCAAACAACTGCATATTACCAAAGACACTGAGCAGGATAAACTCTCCAATAGTCACTCTCCTTGGTCAGTGGTTCTCAAACTTTTTCACATCAGTGACCCATAAACTGACATAAATTAGACCACAGACCCCCATCTGATGAGATTTTCGCTTTTAGATGTTTTATTACAGAAGGTGTTTGAAACCCATGAACAAAGCCGCACATTCTGTCATTGTGTTACTTATGGATTGAATTATATTGAAAATAAATGATTCCCCTGATTGCTGGGAATCCCCAGGAATCCCCTCAAGGACCCCCACTCTGAAAACCACTGCTTTAGGTTATGCTTTGGTCCACACCTGTGATCCATCCACAGAGACACAGTGCTAGCACGGCTAAAAGGTGTAACGATGTAAGAGAGGAACTCAAAAGCATACTGATAACTTTACTTTGTTAAAGACACTGTAGGTCTGTAGTCGGCAATGTGAAGTCAGATGTATCGAAGAATTGAAGAGAGCCAACACAGGCAGGCGGTGGTCAAAGGCAGTAGAAGGTCGCACCAGGTCACTGCACAAGCAGGCAGGACAGAAAGCTACAAGGTGAATTGAGCATCTGGAAAGGAGCTTACTGACTGATGTGGTGAGACTAACTGGTCGTGAGGAGCAGCGGTCACCATGACAAAGCTTTATATAGCTGAAGAACTGGGTGTGAATTCTCTCCTGGTTTGGCACTGCAAGTTTCACTCGTAGTTTACATGAAATATGTAGCTGCAAAAAACCTTGCAGATACAGTTTTACTAATCATTGTCAATCAAGTGTGTGAATATTTCTCAAAATTAAGACCAGGATTCCCATGTTTACTGTCATCTCCTCTGCTCCCAGCTATTTTTGGTCTTGGTTTAAGTGAAGAGAATAGACATGCTACATGTGGTTTCCAGAGCCCTTTGCAAATCACCGAGAGCAACCCAGCAGCTTTCACACGAAATGCAACGGTACAATGTATAATATAATGTATCAGAAAACAATTTCAAATATAGTGAAGAAGACTTAACAGCGATGGTCTTATGTGTTCATGATAATGTAATTATGATTTACTGATGTGAAAATCTCAGCCTTTGTAATTACATTAATTGGTGAAAACAAATTAATGATAAGCTGGGGTTTCGAAACAGCTTTGAAAATCACATTGATATTCATCCACAACAATCAACGCACCGTGCAGGAAAGCAAGTAGCTGAACGTTTGTGCCAAATCTCCACAGCCCCGTGCAACATGAGCTGATGCATGGATATAATTTCCCTGATTAGCTCTGATTGCTTCATGATTATTTGAATCATCATCAACACATCGGATGTTGCGTTAGAAATCACCAAAGAGACTGTGTGTGTGTGTGTGTGTATATGTGTGTGTGTGTGTGTGTGTGTGTGTGTGTGTGTGTGTGTGTGTGTGTGTGTGTGTGTTCATTTGACACCAATAAATAAGGTGTGTGCCCGAGTGCATGTTAATGGGGGTTAACTGAGGCTTCTTAGCTAAATGACTTAATTGATTAAGATCTGTCCTTTATTAGTCCCACAGTGAGAAAATTTGCAATTAGAGAGCAAATTTCACAAAGGTAAAGCACAGGTGCAAAGTAAAACCACACAAAGTCATCAATATTTTATTACTATTGCTGTGCCTGTCAGCCTGTCTGTGGCACATGCAGTTAAAAATGATGAACAGCAGCACTGGTTAATTGTTAGTAATTGTAATGGGTCTGTGATTTCAGACGATGGCGGAGCTTGTCAGTCATTTTCTGTTGCTGGCAGATTTTATCTCTGGTTTACCTTTTAGTGTTTCTAGCTCAATCGTTTTAAAATAAGAAGCCTGGAAATTCTCAGAAATATGAACTCGATGGCTACATGTATAATATTGTGGCAAAAGACTGAGGCTAAAGTTGTATGTGTCAGTCTCATCTCACAATCTGATAATCCATACTTACGGTGTTACTTTTGTCTGTGGAAACTACAACCAAAAACTCCTATTAATCAAAACTATTACAAAGAGCTACATGCGAAATGCAAATAAAGTGATTTGCATCTAAAAATCACTACTTATATTGTCTGTCTTTTGGTTTGCATTTCTTATTACCAGCCGCCACAGAGGCCATGGACTTGGTATGGTTTTCACCTGGTGTGTGTGTGTCTTCATGGCAAAATGTGGGACACCTACTGTAGCAGGACCTACCACAGAGGCAGGTGTTTATATGTCTGTCTGTCTGTGGACAGATTTGTCAACATGAAAGCGTCACCACTGTGCAAGATACAGACATGAAACCTTACAGGTGTGTAGTTGAGATCAAAGTGAAGACTGAGTTCAAAGAGCATGTGGTCTGAGCAAGGACTCCTGAAGTGGGGGGGGGTAGGAAGTAGGGAAGGCGCCATCACTGTATCCCAGATTCAATCATTCTCATCCACTCAAACATATTGGATAAAACTAGAGACTAGCTTGTGATGGGATCACAGCAGCTGCAATGCCCGTCAACATGTTGATATTCAGTAGTCATTACTACATTATTACATGAGCAATAAAAGACAAACTGAGAAACACAAAGAAAAAATGAGATGCAAATGAAAAACTGTCTCACAAACCAAAAACAAAAACTCCTCCAACCTGAACAACCACACAGATCATTTTTTCAACCCTCTGATACGACCCAGAAATAACGCCCCCCCCACGGTGGCAGGTGTACCAGACCTCAGTTGTCACGGTTAATAAACACTCAGTCTGTACCAAGAGTGGTGCACCTGCCTTCGCCGACACAGTTACTGAAATAACGGTCATGGGCGAGGTTAGGTATGGGAAAAGATTGTGATTTGGGTTAAAATAAGTACCTCAACTTTAGACAGTTTGTGTTGTCATGGTTACAACACAAACTGCTGGATTCACATGCCGCTCTCCTGTGTCATATTCATCCATCCACCACAATCTCCTCCTGGCGTGGACTTTGTCTCTCCTCATACTACGTCACCGCACTTTTCCCTTTGCTCCTGTCATAATTATTACGACCAATAAATGTTGCCTAGCAACAAAATGTAACCATGGGTCATAATAAGCTGTTGCACAGATGATCTAACAGTCTCACCAAAAATGTTCGCTGGTTTCAATTCCACATCTCTTTGTGTTTTAATTAAAAGATAAAAGTAACCCCATGCAACAGCTCTTTTCTTGAATTGAAAGTGAACAATACAAGACATGGATTTTCACTTTCAACATTCTAAAAGAAAATGGGGACAGCTTCACTGTGCTGTGACACCTCTGCTGAAGCGTGGCTGCCTGTCGCTCAGCTGCCCCTGTTTTCCACAGCACAGCAGAAAAAAAAAATTGAAAATAAAGTCTGGCAGGTTGATACTAGGTATCATGCACATGCCTCCTCTCAGCAGAATGCTGTTTGAGATAAGGGTTTGTGTCCATGCCTTAAGCTGTGAGCCGCTGACAGCAAGCTCAGCAGGTAGATTAAAAAAAAAAGTTAAATCTGTGCACAACAAAGCGTTTAATTGAACACAAACGAGGCGGGGAGGAGAGCTTTCTAATTATCTCTGCACTGCGATAATGAAACAGAAAGTATCAGGGTGACATTCTGAATATGCATATTATGGCTGTATTATGTGGTGGCAGGATACTTGACTCCAGCATTACAAACAGAAATGTGTCTTTTGTTGGTTTTTTTGTGCTTTTTTCTTTTTGCCAATAACAGCTTCCTCCCACACTACAACGTCCCTGAATCCTCTGCCCACTGTGCTAAAGAATTAGCATTTAGCCTCTGATGCTATTGACTCGCCTGGGGCAACAATGACCAAGCTTCCCTCTTCCTCACCATGCACTTGAGGAGATCACAGACATGAAGAAACTCTCAGAGATTAAAACTATACAGTAATCTCACACCACACTGTATTAATCTCCAATCATAAAAGTGCCATTCTTTGGCATACACAAGTTTATCAAACTGCTATCAGATTAAGTTGGCCTATCAAATGATGAATGAAATAGCATGAAGTGCCTATTGAAGAACTGAGAGAGTGAAATCATCTGCAGTATTAAACACACTTCAATGTAAATCCCAAATCACATTATGCAAATCTTTTGCTCCTAGATGGGGCCCCTTGAACACATGAGATTACGATCTTCTCTCTGCTCTCGCATTGAGGGTTCAGTCTCACAGTGTTCATGCAGAGACACACACACAGTGACACAGAAAATGCTAAAGCTTGTAGGTCTGCATGAGAAACACTCAAGATCTATTAAAAACCTCCTCCAATGAAAATCCAATTTATAACCTTGTTAATATCCATATGACGTTTTCATATCATACAGGACATGTGGTGACTGAGTGTTTCCACCTTGAACTGCAGTGAACCAATGACAGTCTCATAAACACAGATTCAGACAGCCAGGGTTTCATATGTCACAAACATAAGGAACCAATCCTGTCAACTTGTGGGGACGGGGGGCGGGGCTACATAAATCTTAAACCTTGTCAGTAAAGAGAGAGAGAGAGGGTTAGCATTAGCACAACCA